TGGCTAGAACAGACTTGTGTAGTACTAACCGGACTGTAAGTGTGGCTAGAACAGACTTGTGTAGTACTAACCGGACTGTAAGTGTGGCTAAAACAGACTTGTGTAGTACTAACCGGACTGTAAGTGTGGTTAGAACAGACTTGTGTAGTACAAACAGGACTGTAAGTGTGGCTAGAACAGACTTGTGTAGTACTAATAGAACTGTAAGTGTGGCTAGAACAGACTTGTGTAGTACTAACATGACTGTAAGTGTGGCTAGAACAGAATTGTGTAGATAGATACTGTTAGTACTACACAAGTCTGTTCTAGTCACATAGATACTGGTAGTACTACCCAGGTCTGTTCTAGTCACATAGACACTGTTAGTACAACAAAAATCTGTTCTGGTCACGTATATACTGTTAGTACTTCTCAAGTCTGTTCTAGTCACATAGATACTGTTAGTACTACCCAGGTCTGTTCTAGTCACATAGATACTGTTAGTACTACACAAGTCTGTTCTGGTCACGTATATACTGTTAGTACTACACAAGTCTGTTCTAGTCACCTAGAGATACTGTTAGTACTACACAAGTCTGTTCTAGTCACACAGATACTATTAATACAACAAAAGTCTGTTCTGGTCACACTTACAGTCCTGATAGTACTAACAGTATCTATGTGACTAGAACAGACTTGTGTAGTACTAATAGAACTGTAAGTGTGGCTAGAACAGACTTGTAGAGTACTAACAGGAATGTAAGTGTGGCTAGAACAGACTTGTGTAGTACTAATAGGACTGTTAGTGTGGCTAGAACAGACTTGTAGAGTACTAACATGACTGTAAGTGTGGCTAGAACAGACTTGTGTAGTACTAACATTATCTATGTGACTAGAACAGACTTGTGTAGTACAAACAGGACTGTAAGTGTGGCTAGAACAGACTTGTGTTGTACTAAAAGGACTGTAAGTGTGGCTAGAACAGACCTGTAGAGTACTAACATGACTGTAAGTGTGGCTAGAACAGACATGTGTAGTACTAAAAGGACTGTAAGTGTGGCTAGAACAGACTTGTGTAGTACTAATAGAACTGTAAGTGTGGCTAGAACAGACTTGTGTAGTACTAACAGGACTGTAATTGTGGCTAGAACAGACCTGTAGAGTACTAACAGGACAGTAAGTGTGGCTAGAACAGACTTGTGTAGTACTAATAGAACTGTAAGTGTGGCTATAACAGACTTGTGTAGTACTAACATGACTGTAAGTGTGGCTAGAACAGACTTGTGTAGTCCTAACAGGACTGTAAGTGTGGCTAGAACAGACTTGTGTAGTACTAACAGGACTGTAAGTGTGGCTAGAACAGACTTGTATAGTACTAACAGTATCTATGCGACTAGAACAGACCTGGGTAGTACTACCAGTATCTATGTGACTAGAACAGACTTGTGTAGTACTAACAGTATCTATGTGACTAGAACAGACTTGTGTAGTACTAACAGTATATACGTGACCAGAACAGACTTTTGTTGTACTAACATTATCTATGTGACTAGAACAGACTTGTGTAGTACTAACAGTATCTATCTACACAATTTTGTTCTAGCCACACTTACAGTCATGTTAGTACTACACAAGTCTGTTCTAGTCACATAGATACTGGTAGTACTACCCAGGTCTGTTCTAGTCGCATAGACACTGTTAGTACAACAAAAGTCTGTTCTGGTCACGTATATACTGTTAGTACTACACAAGTCTGTTCTAGTCACCTAGATACTGTTAGTACTACCCAGGTCTGTTCTAGTCACACAGATACTATTAATACAACAAAAGTCTGTTCTGGTCACGTATATACTGTTAGTACTACACAAGTCTGTTCTAGACAGACTTGTGTAGTACTAACATTTTCTATGTGACTAGAACAGACTCTTGTAGTACTAACAGGATCTATGTGACTAGAACAGACTCGTGTAGTACTAACAGTATCTATCTACACAATTCTGTTCTAGCCACACTTACAGTCCTTTTAGTACAACACAAGTCTTTTCTAGCCACACTTACAGTCTTTTTAGTACAACACAAGTCTTTTCTAGCCACACTTACAGTTCTATTAGTACTACACAAGTCTGTTTTAGCCACACTTACAGTCCTGTTTGTACCATAGATACTGTTAATACTATACAAGTCTGTTCTAGCCACACTTACAGTCCTGTTTGTACTACACATGTCTGTTCTAGCCACACTTACAGTCCTTTTAGTACAACACAAGTCTTTTCTAGCCACACTTACAGTCCGGTTAGTCTGTTCTAGTCGCATAGATACTGTTAGTACTACAAGAGTCTGTTCTAGTCACATAGATACTGTTAGTACCACACAAGTCTGTTCTAGTCACCTAGATACTGTTAGTATTACCCAGGTCTGTTCTAGTCGCATAGACACTGTTAGTACAACAAAAGGCTGTTCTGGTCACGTATATACTGTTAGTATTACACAAGTCTGTTCTAGTCACCTAGACACTGTTAGTACTACCCAGGTCTGTTCTAGTCAAATAGACACTGTTAGTACCATACAAGTCTGTTCTAGTCACACTTACAGTCCGGTTAGTACTCTACAAGTCTGTTTTAGCCACACTTACAGTCCTGTTTGTACCATAGATACTGTTAATACTATACAAGTCTGTTCTAGTCGCATAGATACTGTTAGTACTATCAGGACTGTAAGTGTGACCAGAACAGACTTTTGTTGTATTAATAGTATCTGTGTGAATAGAACAGACCTGGGTAGTACTAACAGGATCTATTCTGTTCTGGTCACGTATATACTGTTAGTACTACACAAGTTTGTTCTAGTCACATAGATAATTTTATTACTACACAAGTCTGTTCTAGTCACACTTACAGTCCGGTTAGTACTCTACAAGTCTGTTTTAGCCACACTTACAGTCCTGTTTGTACCATAGATACTGTTAATACTAAACAAGTCTGTTCTAGTCACACTTACAGTCCGGTTAGTACTACAAAAGTCTGTTCTAGCCACACTTACAGTTCTATTAGTACTACACAAGTACAGTATATACGTGACCAGAACAGCCTTTTGTTGTACTAACAGTGTCTATGCGACTAGACCAGACCTGGGTAGTACTACCAGTATATATGTGACTAGAACAGACTTGCGTAGTGCTAACAGTATCTGTGTGACTAGAACAGACCTAGGTAGTACTAACAGTATCTAGGGGACTAGAACAGACTTGTGTAGAACTAACATTATCTATATGACTAGAACAGACTTGGGAAGTGCTAACAGTATCTGTGTGACTAGAACAGACTTGTATAGTACTACCAGTATCTATGCGACTAGAACAGACCTGGGTAGTACTACCAGTATCTATGCGACTAGAACAGACTTGTATAGTACTAACAGTACCTATGCGACTAGAACAGACCTGGGTAGTACTAACAGTATCTATGTGACTAGAACAGACTTGTGTAGTACTTACATTATCTATGTGACTAGAACAGACTTGTGTAGTACTAACATTATCTATGTGACTAGAACAGACTTGTGTAGTACTTCCATTATCTATGTGACTAGAACAGACTTGTGTAGTACTTCCATTATCTATGTGACTAGAACAGACTTGTGTAGGACTAACATTATCTATATGACTAGAACAGACTTGGGTAGTGCTAACAGTGTCTGTGTGACTAGAACAGACTTGTATAGTACTAACAGTATCTATGTGACTAGAACAGACTTGTGCTAGTCTGAACAGGAAAACTGTGGCGAAAACAGATTATTATGTAGAACTATTGCTAACAACAGGAGAATAAGTGTGGCTAACCTATATTGGCATTAAAGGTTTGTAAGTGTGGCTAAACAGATTGGCTTTTATTGCACTAGTATCTATGTGACTAGAACAGACTTGTGTAGGACTAACATTATCTATATGACTAGAACAGACTTGGGTAGTGCTAACAGTGTCTGTGTGACTAGAACTGACTTGTATAGTACTAACAGTATCTATGTTACTAGCACAGACTTGTGCTAGTCTGAACAGGAAAACTGTGGCGAAAACAGATTTTTATGTAGAACTATTGCTAACAACAGGAGAATAAGTGTGGCTAACCTATATTGGCATTAAAGGTGTGTAAGTGTGGCTAAACAGATTGGCTTTTATTGCACTGTATAAGATGATGATAAATTACAGAATACTTATACTAGCTTATATACACAGAAAGGACTTGGTATATCACAGTATATATATACCTTAATGTCACAGTACCACATGTACAGCTTGTACGGTTTCCAGCCGCCTTTTAACAATTTTTGTATTCAAAGTCAAGTTTAAAGTCAAAGATCGTTTATTCTTTCACACATATTTTCAATTTCATTTTGTATTTCCCATTCACACATTAATATATTAATTCCAATAAGGATGAAAAAGTTAACTTTTCATTTTGTATTGACTAAATTAATCTTTTTTCAGATAAACTTACCTGGATTTTCATGAGTTTGTTTGGCAAAATATTTTATCCTGTAAAATATTGTTTAAATTATTTAATTGATCTGACAAAAACATTGAATTTCATTTTGTGTACATTGAAAACCATTATTAAAACAAAACAAGTTTGATAAATTTGTTGATAAATTTGTGACAAATTATTGTATTTATGGGGGTTTTCGGAGAGGACGGGGGGGTTGATACTTGCAGTGCAAGAACTATATTTAGGGTACTGTGACATCTAAGGATTAACATGACACTTGTGTGTGTTTACGATGCTTTCTAATGTGTGTAAGCTCAAATCACCAGTTGTGTAACATACCATGTGTTGCAGAGGACATCGTGACAGCTTAATTGAGGATGAGCTCAACGACCAGTTTGTCTCGCCCTCACAACAGTAAGCGGACAACAACCAATTCCAATATACCCACCCACAACACAATGAGGACGCCAGCCAAATTCTTTCCAACATTTTTCATATGTAGCCAAAACTCTGAAATTCCTTTACATCAGACAGAATTGTACTTCTTGTTTGTCATCATTTGCACGTCAATTGCAGAAATTTTCCTTTATTTTTTTTATTTTTTTTTTTAACATCATACTAAATCTTGTCCACAAATATTGTGTTTCTTTGTCGGTGCTCAACATATTGGATTCACAAGTATTATCGTATGTCCTAACTCGAAAATATATAATTTGCCACAGATGAAGATCCAAGTCACACAGAATTTTCAAATTCACATTCATAAGCAGACTCTAATATGCTTACCCTGTTTTTGTTGATAATTTTTGCGCGATTCATTATCTCTGTCCTGAAGAAAGAACAATTTTTGCAATTTTCCACCTTTCTATGAAACTTAGAAAAACAATCACAATATTGGACCCAAGCCTATGATTACTTTTTTTAGATTTTCTCTCTGCTATTAATTTTTGAAAGAAACATTTTTCAATCAAAGGTTTATCCCATTCCCTTAACTAAGGTAAAGGTGACACAATCTTGCCACCTGGTACGGCTGTGTGTCCTTGCGGTGTCGGTGGGTGGCTGTGTTACTGTTCCATCACAGTTGTTTGGTTGTTGTGTTATGGTTGAGAATGTTGAGTTTTGTTGACAGGAGTCCCGTGTCTACGAACATCACCCACACTTCTACACTAATCTGCATGGCAGACCTCACAGAAATCTTGTGTTATGCAATACACCATACTATTGACATCCCACATTTGTCTTCCATCCAACCTCGTGTAACTTGAATCGCCCAATGATCGGACGATCTTGTAGCATACCTAGCCTGTTCTATAGGACTCTCATTAATTAGTTACAACTCTGTATTGAGAATGTTTTATAAAGTTGCACAATTCCAGCATGTACTAATTAAAACAATAGATATGTAAGGAAATTAAAATGGGTAACCATAGTTGGTCTGTCAAGCAAGGGAGATAATCAGTCATAGTAAAACGAATGCTAAGGGACATTACTGAATTTCTTCTGTATATTTAATTTGCAAAATGATCTGAATTTCGGGGTAAAATGTCATATAAAGAAAACATTTTTGAGATTTACATAGCATTTTAATAAAAGCCTAGCATTAATAGATACACCCTAAGTACTGACATGAATATTATATTGTTTGTTAGTATAATTGTAAATATAGTCTTTGTATACGTCTATGAAAGAATGGAGGAATTGCTTGATTGATAAATAATATGAGCACTTTGTTGTGCAAAATATCAACTGAAAGCAGTTTGATAAAGGGAGATAATTCATTAGCCTTCCTTAGTGTGCAGTGGTGATCTTTAAGTTGACAGCCATTTCACGTGTCTATTCCTTGCCATCAGTAATATCCACTATCAATCCTGTCCAAATTTGTGTGCGGTGGTATCACTGATTCAATATTAACAATCACAGATTTGTTTGATCAGTAACAGAAATTCCTGATTAAAACCTGTATATTAGTAATGACACGTACATGATTCCACACAAGTCTGGTCTGATTAAAACCTGTATATTAGTAATGACACGTTCATGATTCCACACAAGTCTGGGCTGATTAAAACCTGTATATTAGTAATGACACGTTCATGATTCCACACAAGTCTGGTCTGATTAAAACCCGTATATTAGTAATGACACGTACATGATTCCACACTAGTCTGGTCTGATTAAAACCTGTATATTAGTAATGACACGTACATGATTCCACACAAGTCTGCTCTGATTAAAACCTGTATATTAGTAATGACACGTTCATGATTCCACACAAGTCTGGGCTGATTAAAACCTGTATATTAGTAATGACACGTACATGATTCCACACAAGTCTGGTACATGATTTTCCATAATCCCTACGAAGCCCTTTCTTCCAAATTTACAGAAACGCATTTGATAATATTACTACAGAGAAATAGTTTTAAGACGTACGTATTGTTTGTACTTTCATATTTATTGTATACTGTGTAATGTTAGAACAAGACTTCCTGTATGATTAGGATCCCTGTACCACTGCTAAAAACGTATGATACTGCAGGTATGCATTCAAAAGATATTTTTCTGGTATGACTATAGCTTTAAAAAATCATTTCTGAAAAGAAATATATACCTTGTGGGACTTTTATGAAAACTTAATAGAGATGAAATTAACCAAAAATAATCAACGATAGTATTCTGAGTGTAAACACTTGGCAGGGCTAGACTAGGGTTTGGACCCTGGATTACAGATTGGTGCACTATCTCCCTTAACTGATTGAGCCACCTGGTCAATGGAAATGTCCCGGACCAACTTAGTTACATTTGTATCCGAGGCGAAAACAAAGGGAGGTTATTGTAAATAAAATAAAAACACGGTGCAGTGGGACAGGGATCCTTACCCTGTTCATTTTGAAGTTGTTTTGTGGTGGGAAATGAATTGTCAGCTGAATGGCAAACTGCATGAACAGGAACATACCATTTACCGAGTAACAGGAAGTTGTGTAACGTTGTTTTTTTTTTCAATAAATACCCTTGTAACGGTTACAAGTAGAATAGAACTAAGTTTACCCGCTCTGGACAAAAAAATATTAAGGATAATTCATATTGATTAACTCCAATATTCCCACAAATATTTCTGCTAAATAACATTTTAATACTTAATCATACACCCCCCCTTGAAGAAATGAATTTGTGATTAAAATATTTTTCCTTGAGTTATGACCTTTGAAACTTTCTGATTCAGAAACCATATAAACGCAACTCATTCTTAAAGGTTTGTTGGATTTTTTGGTAACTTTGCACAGTGAAGTGAAAGCACATCATATATAGATGTGCAAGAAGGAATGGATATGCGAGATTGGGGTACAAAACCCCCTGCAAACAAAGTTTAAATATCCAGATAAAATGAGGTGGGGGCATGTCTATCCTTAGTTTTTCTAGTTAACTTCAGTTACATCTTTACAACATAGTCTATGGGTGGTCAGGTGGCTCAGTGGATAACGCATTTGCCTTCCACCAAGGCGGCCGGGGTTTAATACCCAAATTGTACATGAAAAGGTATGGGGTCATCTGCCCGACCATGCAGGTTTTCTCTGGGTACTTCAGTTTCCTCCCACATTAAGACACCTCCCACCCCCCACCGCCGTGCGCTAACATCCAGTGATTATTATAAGTTGAAATAAATTGCTTCATAACTGTTGTAAAATAAACAAATATAAAGTTTAGATTATTCAACATAGACTATGTATTACATCTATTTCCTGAGCATGATAAGTGTATATGCAATATAACAGACAGTGTAATATTTTAAACAATTATTAGTTTGGCTGTAATTGTCCATTGGCTGTACACATATATACAATATACAAGTACAACATTCAGGCTTGATTGCATTCAATTCTGCGTGAATGCCATTCCTGGCCACTGTATTACATGCCCCTATAGCTTGACAGAACCGAACACGAGGTGGCACTGGACATTTATCAACACCCCTAGCTTATTTAAGCCACACACTAGTACTGTACACTGTAGATAATGTTACCTCCGCACCTGCATGTTAAGTACAGGTCCTCTGATCTTGGATCATTTTCACTTGATTTTCGATCTAAATAAAATTAGAATATTTATTTCCTCTCATAAGACATGGGACATAGAAATCAACTTAGAGGCTTATTTTTGTGTCAGATTCCTACTAGTTAGTTTTCCAGCACAATATATATAGAGACTTTTACTGGTACAACGTATGTAGCTCAGATTGTTTGCACAGCACTTATAGAACATTATAGGAAGAGACACTGCCATCGACACCATGGCTTTAGCTTTTGATGCTGATCCTTACCTTCGTGTAATGACAAGTGCTTTACTATTGTAAGGTGGACATGCTTGCAGGCCTGTTGTTTACATGTAGAATAGACAGTCCTTTAATTTTGTAAACAATGTTTTAATGTAATTTAAATTAAATTTTGTCTGGTAAAGAATTATTAATGTTCTATTTCTATTTTGTTATAAAATCTTCGCTGGATCAAAGGGAAAATACATTGTATGTACAAATGACAGGAATTAATTATTGAGAATTTTTCCTTTTTTAGAAAGATTTTTTTTTAGGTACATTGATGTAAACTTGATATGTTTAAATTCAAGACAGGGTACATTTATAACTCAAGAGTTTTTCCTATGTTTGATACTTAAACAGCAAGAAACATGAAGCTTGTTGGTTCTTGACTGAATATCTGTATGTCTTTCTGTATTTTCAGATCCACCTTACAAGTGAACCCCCCTCCACTACCTCCCAGAGTAAGTAAAAAAGTGTTCATTTTCAATGACTTTAGACAAACATATAGGACAGGAGAGAGACCAACTCACAGCATCTGGATAAGTCCATTGTGGTCTACAGTGGTGAAAGGGTTTACCCTAAGTTTACTCCAGTATTGGCTCATTACCCAAATTAATGTTTATATAAATTCTATTATGTCCTTACTTGATGTATACTCTAGAACAGCAATCCTTTCTTTAAACCGTATGAGACAGTCATCCTTACTGTTATACATACTAAACACTTATAGGATGCTGGACAGTTGGAAGGCTACTGTATATCGGGAAATTTCTGCTGCTCTTCAATTTTCGCCTTTCTAGCCCTCCTCAATAAGGGCGAATTTATCATGACCGCCAATATAAGTACACATTTTACCCTATAAAGTAGTTAAAAGTTTACCCTATATAGTAGTACACAGTTTACCCTATAAAGTAGAACACAGTTTACCCTATAAAGTAGTACACAGTTTACCCTATATAGTAGTACACAGTTTACCCTATAAAGTAGTACACAGTTTACCCTATATAGTAGTACACAGTTTACCCTATAAAGTAGTACATAGTTTACCCTATAAGTAGTACACAGTTTACCCTACACAGTAGTTAACAGTTTACCCTATATAGAAGTACACAGTTTACCCTATAAAGTAGAACACAGTTTACCCTATAAAGTAGTACACAGTTTACTCTATATAGTGGTACACAGTTTACCCTATATAGTGGTATACGGTTTACCCTATAAAGTAGTACACAGTTTACCCTATATAGTGGTACAGAGTTGACCATATAAAGTAGTTCACAGTTTACCCTATAAAGTAGTACACAGTTTACCCTATATAGTGGTACACAGTTTACCCTATATAGGGGTACACAGTTTACCCTATAAAGTAGAACACAGTTTACCCTAGAAAGTAGTACACAGTTTACCCCATAAAGTAGTACACAGTTTACTCTATAAAGTAGAACGCAGTTTACCCTATAAAGTAGTATACGGTTTACCCTATATAGTGGTACAGAGTTGACCATATAAAGTAGTTCACAGTTTACCCTATAAAGTAGAACACAGTTTACCCTATAAAGTAGAACACAGTTTACCCTAGAAAGTAGTACACAGTTTACCCCATAAAGTAGTACACAGTTTACTCTATAAAGTAGAACGCAGTTTACCCTATAAAGTAGTTTACCCTATAAAGTAGTACACAGTTTACCCTATAAAGTAGTATACGGTTTACCCTATATAGTGGTACACAGTTTACCCTATAAAGTAGTACACAGTTTACCCTATATAGAAGTTTACAGTTTACCTGATATAGTAGGTACGTTTGACGGGTGAATTTAACACTAGGCGTGTAGAGATTATAGCAGTGAAGGGGAATATTGGACTCGGCGAAAGTTTCATGGTATACTGTATGTCTTCTTTCATCCCATAGAAGTTCTCCCAGGACTCCAACTGTAATGAGGGTGGGAATAATGAACCGGGGGCCGAGTTGTTGGACATGGATCCACCAGACATTGACAACCTCATTGACCGCGTGCTGACCTTGACCCCAGACTCACGACCCCCAACAGAAGAGGAAACAGAGGTGCCGCCAGCCATTCCTCCCAAACTACGCACACAGAACGGTGTGATAAACAGTATGGGGAATGGGAGCACACCAACCACCTCAGAAGACCGACCACCTCCTGTTGTACCACGCAGAGACAAAAAGGACCAGGTGACTAGTTGATGGTGGTAGCTGAGTGGGTGGGGAAACAGTTATTGTGTTGGCAAGGAAATAGTTGTTGTGTGGGCGGGGAAACAGTAGCTGTGTGACCAGGGAAATAGTTGTTGTGTGGGTGGGGAAACTAGCTGAGTGGGTAGGGAAACAGTAGCTGACAGGGTACGGGAAGCAGTATCTGTGTGAATAGGGAAACAGTTGTTGTGTTGGCGAGGAAACTAGCTGAGTGGGTAGGGAAACAGTAGCTGAGTGGGCGAGGAAACTAGCTGAGTGGGAAGGGAAACAGTAGCTGAATGGGAGAGGAAACTATAGCTGAGTTTGTAGGGAAACAGTGGCTATTAGGGTGGGTATGCAGAAGCTGTGTGGGCGGGGAAACCGTAGCTTGTGCTTATTATACTTTTTGTTGACTGCAAAAAAAACCCACCATAATCATGGCAGTTTACTTTGTCAGTATTGACTACAGTCAGATATGTTTAAATTTTAAGCAAGGAGAACTGAATAATGTGTTCTTCATTATCATTATTTGCTATAATTTATTTCCGCAGAACAATTGAGTACTATCAGCATGTGATCTGACTTAGTTATCAGAGCCACAAAAATAACAATAGTAAGGAATTATCAGGAACTTACATTGTGCCTATGATGCTGTGGTATTGAAACCAATGAAATGTACTCTTTTCTGTTTACAGCAAGAGAAGTCTTTACGCCCTGTTAGTAACGGACTACCACCAACACCCAAGGTCCATGTAAGTGATCATGTTTTCGTGTAAAGACAGATGCTGGCAAAAACAGCCTGCTCTTCACCTATTAGCTGGATTAAACTTTTCACGATACTATAACCTGTCAACATTCAGCCAGCTACTTTTGAAAATCAAAAAAAGGCATGTTTTATCAAACACTAGTGGAAAACCATGCATTGTTTTATACTGTACTACTTTTCACTATTCATGAAGCATTTTCTTATTTCTTATTTTTGTGTTGCAGATGGGTGCCTGTTTTTCCAAGGTTTTCAATGGGTGTCCATTGCACATAAACTGTACGGCTAGCTGGGTACATCCAGATACCAGAGGTTTGTATAGTAACCATGTCCAACATCCCAAACTGGCTCTAGTAATAGTATGGGGGCCACGGTGGCCAAGTGGTTAAGGCGTCTGGCATTCTTTTACCACTAGCCCTCCACCGCTCGGTCGCTGGTTCAAGACCTATGTAGGGCAAATGTAGGTTGGTGGTTTTTCTACGGAAACTCTTTCCTCAACCACCAAACCCTGGCACGTTCTTAAATGACCATATTTAGCTGTTAATAGGACGAAAAACACAAACAAACTAATATAAACCATTCTCATAGGGTTATGATCCAATCTACCGGGACCACTATCTTATATACCAGCGATATGACTACCACAGCTTTCCAAACATGCTGCTTTAGTATAAACCGTTGTTATAGTTTTCTAATCTGCTATGACCAATATAACTCCCATACCAGATAACAGGTGTTTGTATAAATCAGTCAGTCAGTGAAATATACTGATTTTATAACCCAGCCCATAGTACGTACTGATCCTATTGTCCAGCTCGTAATATTGGTGTCCTTGCTGCTGGTATATATTTCCTAAACTGATTCTGTTTAAATTAACAGACAAATGTGATGTGCAAAATTTTGATATTGTTAAATAATTATTAAATGATGGTATCCAGAACTATAAGGCCATCACTAGTGAAGGATTTTTCCCTCTGAATACCTGAAAAATTTAAATATGAACCGACCTGGTTACATGTAAACCTACAAAAAGTATGGAATCGTGAACTACATTTGCGGGTACCTGGGTATTCTTATTTGTATCATGGTTCTGACCAAAACCGACCAAGATTTGGGTGACAGCCCTACAAAAATATATGAGAATTCTCGCTAAAATGGTTTACACTTGACGTGCAAGTTTTCTGTAGATTTCCGTTCGGTAGTGCATGTAATTTGCTCTTTGTTGCAGACCAATACATACTTATCGGTGCCAACGAGGGTATGTATACCCTCAACATGAACGAACTCCACGAGGCTTCACTAGAGCTGGTGAGTTGTTATTAACAGATTGTAAGATGTTATCAAATATAAATTGTCAAGGCTAGTCTGTAACAAATTCCTGTCAATAACAACAGTTTAAAAAAATGTCTTTCATGTACACCTGTATTTAACATAAGATTGACACAAAACTCTATATTGAAGAGAATACTTGAAGAAGTGAAATAGTGACTAAATGCTGAGAAAATGTATAACTAGGAGTGCTTTGTAAATATTGGAATTTCTGTTGTGTTTTGCCTGTGTACCTATTGGCTGTGTGGTGTCTGTTTTAGCTACATGCGAGAAGATGTACGTGGGTGTATGTGATCAAGGATGTGCTCATGTCCCTCTCAGGTAAACACCAATCTGTCTTTACTATATACCGCGAATTTTCACCCTTCGCCAGTTTGCTGTATTGAAAAATTTGTCCTCATTACAGCGGGCATAGGGCAAAAATTAAACTGCAACGAATAGTTCCCAGTATACAGTAATCCTTCCATCTAGTATCAAATTATTTTTACTTTATGAAAAAACAGTTACAATGAAACATGTCTATACTAACACCTGACTTAACAGACACCTGACCTTACTGACACAAGACTTAAATTAAACCTGCCTTTGTTGACAACTGGCTTCAATGACATCTTGTCATATCTTACAAGGCTTTATCGCCCCAGAAAGTGATTTTCTTTGTCTTTAATGCTGAGTAATTAAAGACTGGTTTCAAGGGACTGCAAAAGATTCATCTTAGTTCAGATTTTACTCAAATATCTAAATCAATAACTCATTGTTTACTCTTTCTATAGATCAATTAGACCATCCGCATCTGGCCTTAGCTGTTTCAAAGATGTACCCGTAAATTGTAAAAGAATAAATTTTGCTCTTTTGAAAATGAAGATCTTATTGAAATATGAATTTTGAAGAAACTATTGTGTTACAGGTAAAACCCCTCACCTGTACCGACACGACCTAATGATGTTGTTCAGTCGTCAGACCACCAGGTTCTCACTCCCGATGAACAAGATACCAGAGAAATTAGTCCCTAGGTAATGCTAATTATCTCATAATGCATTGAATAGTTGCTTTACGATTTCTCGCTGCTTGTTCAGAATGCATAAAATGTTTTTGTACAAATTATTTAAATATAATTATGCAATCTAAACTAGAATTAGCTTTGTTATAATCACTTGAGTTTTGTAAAGCTGACAGAATTTAATATTCAGTTTGATAAAATGTTTTTGATATTTTATCAAGTCGTTTGCCAAATTGGCATATTTTACCTAGGTAAGGAAAAACCATGCTAGGGCACAATTCTTTTGAAACACAATTTTAAGGATGACAAAATGGAGTATATTTTTCAGTATTATGTCAATTTTATCCTTATTTACACATGAAAGACTGCTTTTTCTGACGTTCACAGGAAGTTCAACCCGACGACGAAGGTTCCGGACACGCGGGGCTGTACTAGGTGCTGTGTGGGGAGGAACCCCTACAATGGGTACAAGTATCTGTGTGGGGCTCTCCATAACGGCATCATACTTATGCAGTGGTACGAACCCCTCAATAAGTTCATGCTCCTAAAGGTAAGTCCATCCACTGCTTAAGCCACTTAAGTGACATAGTGTACTACCATTATTTATCACATAATGTACTGCGTTATTATCCAGGAATATACCTGTGTCATATTTTTTTTGCGTATTAACCCATGTAATACGACCTATCAGCCCTGTGATTGGTTGTAATTTTCAATTGTAACGTCACGACTAGGACAAGTACATTTCAAGATTGCATGAAAATTGTTGTTTTACACAATTAATGCCACAAATCTTGATTATGTGATAAAAAAAGATCTTACACTCGTTTTCATTTCATATGAAATTTATGAAACTCGTCAAAAAAAAATCATTTTAGCTCGACAGAGGCTCGCTAAATTGAAAAGTTCTTAGACTTGTTTCATAAATCTCATATGAAATGGAAACTCATGTAAGATCCTATATATACAGTGAATTTTATCATGAACCCCTCAATAAGTTGATGCTCTTCAATTCTTCAATTTCTATAAATTACATGTCCTGTCAAATACCGCAGTATCACATAAACTGAATTTATTTGCAGTCATTTGAGTGTGACGAGATGTCAATCCAGCCGACAGTTTTTGAGATGTTTATCTCCCCTGAACTGGAGTACCCCATGGTGTGTCTGGGAATTAGGGTCGGGTATGTACTCAGCCTGTAAGATTCCCGTACAATAAATCCTTGTTTGTGTTAAATGTTTGTGTTATTTATATTGAGTTCTATATGATGTGATTGGGGTATTGGAATTAATGTCACTAACAAACAAGGAAATCCAATGAGAATTCAATAAAACCCCTTTTGAAAGTCTGAACTAAAGTCTTTGGTTAATTTAAGGATGATGAATTTGCCTTATTAGCAAAAGAAATCATAAGCAGCATTTCCAGATTTTGAGAGTAAGGATTATCAAAAGAATCAGGTTAGTTCAGTGCTGGTTCTGAATATGGTTAACCCTGTGTAAAAGTGGAATCTTGTTCCTGGGTGTGTAATTCCTGGTAAAAAAATATATATATAATGAGATGGGGTGGGGGGCGGGGGGTGCTCATTGTCCAAATGAAACAACTTTTTGATGAAACTACTTTTTGGTCACATTTCTTGTTCACCCGATTGCCGAGAATTTTATGCAGGAAATGGTATTCATTTTACAAAGCATTTAATGGAAAATTTATTATACCGAATATTATTTCAGAAACCCAAACATCGGAACTGATGAAACTCTTCTGTAAGGAACTTACACTTTGACTAATCCCAGTACAGTACACTCCACTTTTACTGATATGACGGTTTTTTGCCATTTTACATCTTTGTTTTGTTAAGTGTCACATTTTCTTGAAACACCATTTTATCCACTATATATAATCTAAGTACATGTACTTACTCACCTACTGACCATTACGCCTAGTGGTGTGTGGGGCAGCAACGAAAGGACATGTAGTATAATTCTATTGTTATCATTTTGAAGTTACTCAAATTTCTATCACTTCACTTGGATCATCACTGAAATTTTTTCAAAGGAATATTTACCTGTTTATTGAGGTTCAAAACCTGGAATTCTTCCTATTTACAAGTGAAAACTTGTTTTCTTAGCACAAAAAATCTGGTAAGTCAATATTGTTAGTGCCTTCACTTGTTACTCCATCATGTTTTAAGGACGGTGAACGCCAAGCTTATCTTTTTGATTTGGACAGTAAATACATTTGAAATAATCAAAAAATGTTTGATGTACATCTTCATGTGTTAAATGTCACATGATGATTGGACAGAAATGGGGCCTGGCATCTATTACTGAATCAGAATTAAGTTTGAACGGTCAATACAAAAAAAATGCATATGAACCAATGGATAACTGCGTTTAATAATTGTTATGAAGAAAACACACGTCCATTAAACCATTTGTTCACTAAATAATCTCCCCTGCCAAACTACACAATGTGGAATTCATATTAGCAGGTAAATAAGGGTTTTGACATAAAAAAAAAAAATGATAAAAAAAATAATGTTTTCACAAATTTCATGAGTTTCTTGAAGTAATAGCAAATAAAATGAAGTGGAGTGTATTGTACTTATATTTAACCTATTGTTATAACTTGATATTTTAGTTCTGACATTATATTACTCTGCTATAAACTTACACATTCACTGATTACAGCACTAGTATGAACAGGTTTTTTTTCAGGTATAACCTTAGGCTTTGACTGATTACAGTAATAATATTTACAGCTCTACAGGTTACAATATTCACTGTTCTACTAGTTACAATAATCCTATTTACAGCTCTGCTGGTTACAATATTCACTGTTCTACCAGTTACAGTAATACTATTTACAGCTCTACAGGTTACAATATTCACTGTTCTACCAGTTACAGTAAAACTATTTACAGCTCTACAGGTTACAATATTCACTGTTCTACTAGTTACAGTAATACTATTTACAGCTCTACAGGTTACAATATTCACTGTTCTACTAGTTACAGTAATACTATTTACAGCTCTACAGGTTACAATATTCACTGTTCTACTAGTTACAGTAATACTATTTACAGCTCTACAGGTTACAATATTCACTGTTCTACTAGTTACAGTAATACTATTTACAGCTCTACAGGTTACAATATTCACTGTTCTACTAGTTACAGTAATACTATTTACAGCTCTACAGGTTACAATATTCACTGTTCTACTAGTTACAGTAATACTATTTACAGCTCTACAGGTTACAATATTCACTGTTCTACTAGTTACAGTAAAACTATTTACAGCTCTACAGGTTACAATATTCACTGTTCTACTAGTTACAGTAATACTATTTACAGCTCTACAGGTTACAATATTCACTGTTCTACCAGTTACAGTAATACTATTTACAGCTCTACAGGTTACAATATTCACTGTTCTACCAGTTACAGTAATACTATTTACAGCTCTACAGGTTACAATATTCACTGTTCTACCAGTTACAGTAATACTATTTACAGCTCTACAGGTTACAATATTCACTGTTCTACCAGTTACAGTAATACTATTTACAGCTCTACAGGTTACAATATTCACTGTTCTACCAGTTACAGTAATACTATTTACAGCTCTACAGGTTACAATATTCACTGTTCTACCAGTTACAGTAATACTATTTACAGCTCTACAGGTTACAATATTCACTGTTCTACCAGTTACAGTAATACTATTTACAGCTCTACAGGTTACAATATTCACTGTTCTACCAGTTACAGTAATACTATTTACAGCTCTACAGGTTACAATATTCACTGTTCTACTAGTTACAGTAATACTATTTACAGCTCTACAGGTTACAATATTCACTGTTCTACTAGTTACAGTAATACTATTTACAGCTCTACAGGTTACAATATTCACTGTTCTACTAGTTACAGTAAAACTATTTACAGCTCTACAGGTTACAATATTCACTGTTCTACCAGTTACAATACTAATCTTTACAGCTCTACTGGTATAAACTAACACTTTGACTGGTTATGGCAGTACTATCCAAAACCTAGCTCATCCTTATATAACTATAGCTGTTAAAAGGATGTAACGCACAAACAAACCAAAGTACTAGTATTTACAGTTCTACTGGTAACAGTACCAGTATTTAAAGTTCTTCTGGTTACAGTACTAGTATTTAAAGTTCTACTGATTACAGTACTAGTATTTAAAGTTCTACTGGTAACAGTTCTACTGGTTACAGTTCTAGTATTTACAATTCTACTGATTACAGTTATAGTATCTACAGTTCTACTGGTAACAGTTCTACTGGTTACAGTTATAGTATTTCCAGTTCTACTGGTTACAGTTCTACTATTTACAGTTCTACTGGTTACAGTTCTAGTATTTACAGTTCTACTGATTACAGTTATAGTATCTACAGTTCTACTGGTAACAGTACCGGTATTTAAAGTTCTACTGGTTACAGTACTAGTATTTAAAGTTCTACTGATTACAGTTCTAGTATTTAAAGTTCTACTGGTAACAGTTCTACTGATTACAGTACAAGTATTTGAAGATCTATTGATTACAGTACTAGTATTTAAAGTTCTACTGGTAACAGTTCTACTGATTACAGTACTAGTATTTAAAGTTCTACTGGTAACAGTTTTACTGATTACAGTACTACTGGTAACAGTTCTAGTATTTACATTTCTACTGGTTACAGATCTAGTATTTACAGTTCTACTGGTTACAGTTTACAGTTCTACTGGTTACAGTTCTAGTATTTACAGTTCTACTGGTTACAGTACTAGTATTTACAGTTCTACTGGTTACAGTACTAGTATTCACAGTTCTACTGGTTACTGTACTGATATTTACAGTTCTACTGGTTACAGTACTAGTATTTACAGTTCTACTGGTTACAGTACTAGTATTCACAGTTCTACTGGTTACTGNTATTTACAGTTCTACTGGTTACAGTACTAGTATTTACAGTTCTACTGGTTACAGTACTAGTATTTACAGTTCTACTGGTTACAGTTGAGTTCTAGTATTCACAGTTGTACTGGTAACAGTACTAGTATTTACAGTTCTACTGGTTACATTTCTAGTATTTACAGTTTTACTGGTTACAGTACTAGTATTTACAGTTCTACTGGTTACAGTTCTAGTATTTACAGTTCTAGTATTAACAGTTCTACTGGTTACAGTACTAGTATTTACAGTTCTAGTATTTTCAGTTCTACTGGTTACAGTACTAGCATTTACAGTTCTACTGGTTACAGTACAAGTATTTACAGTTCTACTGGTTACAGCACTATAATATACAGTTCTACTGGTTACAGTTCTAGTATTCACAGGTCTACTGGTTACAGTACTACTGGTTACAGTTCCACTAGTTACTGTACTGATATTTACAGTTCTACTAGTTACTTACTGATATTTACAGTTCTACTGGTTACAGTACAAGTATTTACAGTTCTACTGGTTACAGTTCTATAATTTACAGTTCTACTGGTTACAGTTGATTTCTAGTATTCACAGTTCTACTGGTCATAGTACTATAATTTACAGTTCTACTGGCTGAGGTAATCCCAGTTTTACTGTTATAACCTTGCATGGTTACTGGTTGCAGCAATAGTTCTTCTGTTATATTGGAGTCTGATGCATGCAGGTGTTTATAACAAGGTCTGGTTTGTTTTTGCAGGGATGAGAAGATCTTACTCAAGTTTGATATAATTAACTTGAATTCCAACTCCAACTGGTTTACAGAGATAACAGAAAACAGGGATGGTGAGTACTACAAATGTACAAAGAGGTAACAGGAAAAAGTCATACATTGCTCATGCTAGGTAACCTCCGCTGCAGTTTATTTTTTATCTTTTTCGCCCTCTGTAATGTAAAAAATGTGATGGGCAAAAATAGGTTTTATTGTCGAAGGGCAACAAATGTCTTGGTATATCTATTTTTGGTAAGGGATGGATTCTACACTGTTTAGGAACACCTGATCATCAACCTGTTTTCATTTAAAAAAAAAAAAAAAAAAAAGATTTCCGTGTGCTCATATTTTACTGGTAAACAAAACATACAAATATAGCAAATAATGATTAACCCTTTCACCACTGTAAACCATAATGAACTTATCCATATCAATGCATGGAAGAGTCTGCTAAAGTTACATAGGGGTGAAAGGGTTAAACTGATTTGGATTTGAATTTTTTAATGCATTCCATGTGTTTGTTGTCTTACAGGAGAAGAACTACCTGTTGTCAATGTGACACAGCTGGAGAAAGATACAATTCTAGTCTGTTTTGATAGTAAGTATTCACTTCCGATCTCGCATGTTACTCTTACATCAATTCTGGATTTAGAGCAACTTTCCTTTTTATAGTTGGTTTTCAATCATCAAAAAGACAACAAGTAAAAGACATAATGAAGATAGTTGTGCTTTTAAACACTTAACATTATAGTAATACAGGGGGAAATGAGATCCAATGTCAGCTAGTGAATGTTCAGTGAAGGTCTGTGTACCCCAGTTAATGGATTCCTAAATGGAATTCACTAGTGCGGCCATATGAGTAATCGAAATTCTAAAGAAGAGACGACCAGACAACATCAAATGAGAAGTCATGGCAAATTTTAACATTATGTACATTTTGGGTTGGTATTGATTGTTATTTCTTCTATCTTCGTTTCAGAATATATAAAAGTTGTAAATATGTCAGGAAAGTTGAAGTCTAGTAAGCGCCAGGCGGCAGAGTTACATTTCGATTCCTCTGTGGAATCCTTGGGTGAGTATACAGTTACACTTCATATTTTGTCATTTGGTTCAAGTGAACGGTTTTATTTCCTACTGGTGATTGTGCATTGATGACATCGGTGTGTTGTGTTGTGTTGTGAACATTTTGTTGAAGTATGTGTCATATATATATCCAAATATAGAAAATATTTTCCTGACAAATCTTTCATTTTGAGAGAGAAAATCAGTGGGGGGTTTTCCCCACCAGAGCAGGCATCTCTTATGGGCATTCATGTCATTACCAAAAATTAAGACCACAATTATAAAGTTTTGTTGACACATGTTACAGGTATACTAGTATGTCTGCAACATCTATGCAGTTCAATGCTAATTGCGACTTTCACTCAAAAATGTATAGTGATTTAAACTTCAGACTGTTTCGCTAAAGAAAGCATAACTAAATTTTAAAATCTTAGCTGACTTTTGAAATCCTTTGTCAAAAGACTTGCTATTATTTTTCCATTATGATATCATTAATGCAAGATTGGTCCAACATATCAGAACTGTAGCTGTTATTTAATTATCACTGTCCTGTATATATATGAAATCTATCCATAAAAGAGGTTTCAATGTAAATAATAAATAGGGGGCTAAGTGGTTAAGGCATCTTGACAAGTTTGAGACCTGTGTGGGGTTTTTTCTCCAGGAACTCTGACTTTCCTCCGCCACAAACTGGCATGTCCTTAAATGACCATAGCTGTTAATAGGATGTAAAACACAAACAAACCAAACCAAAATCAATGTAAATCTTTCTTCTCTTTCTTTCTTGATACCAAAGTAAGAAAAAAAAACCAAGTGCACGTATTACAATGTTATATTTCAAGCTGCACTATTTTAAAATGAATCATGACATATGTTGTGAGTGTGCAGGTATGTACGGAGTTTCTTTAGGAGAATTATGATCTATATTAAATGGTGTTTTTTTCAGTGTGCTTACAAGACAGCGTTTTAGCCTTCCACAAGCATGGTATGCAGGGACGGAGCTTTAAGGCAAATGAAGTAAGTTGCATACATGATTTATTCTGATTATCATTTCAAAGAGAAAAAGTAAACATTAACAATCTTTATTGGTTAACTGTTGGTAACAAGGCACATATCAAGGGTCACATGTCATTTAGTGACTGGGAGAAGGACAAATTTACCGAACAAAAATTCAAACCAAAAGTTTTGAAAATTGTAATGCAGAGCAATTCACAATACAGATCCTTTCTACAAGAGTAAGACAATAGTCTCTCATTGGACGTATCCCATAGTAGGTCATTTAGTAGGTTGGCGCAGTGGATAACACACTTGCCTTTTACCACGTGGGTTTTCTCTGGGAAATCGGTTTTCTCCCACATTAAGACCTCCCCCCCCCCCCCC